ATGGATTCACAGGATCAGTGCTGTGCCCCCAACTTTTGAACAGTCTGTTGGAGGAACCCCTTCTGATGTCCCAGGATGGGACAGATGTCACAGATGTCCCAGGAGTCTCACTCTTCCTTCAGAGCAGGCCACACCAACTCAGAGCCTCCTGAGACTGAATCTTGGGCTTTCAGCAGCTCGGCTTCACACCGTGCGAGTTGCCTGAGACACACTCCTGGTAGAGACTTGGAGGCGCCTCGGGGACTAACGCACCTCAGCTGGCATGGGCAGTGCCGCTTGCGCAGCCTCTTCAAAACTGCTGGGTTTATTAGGCACCTGAAACACAGCGCAGAGAGCCCTTAGAGGGGAGCTCAGAGCACAGACGGTTAAAGCAAAGTCCTTTCTGGTCAGCCCCAAGCAATGCACGAGCCACGCTGTCGTGAACTCCCATTTTCAGGCTCGGGGTTTCTCTCGGACTTCTTTAGTCAGTTCCCAGGCGAGAGCCCCAAGCTTCCCCCACAGCCTGTATATAGCTCATGCCTCTCAGGCCTTTGTTCTCAGCCTGGGCTCTTTGCTCATCTTTTCTGCTGGGCAGAGGGTGGGTGGGGGAATCTGCCTCCCTCTAGGTGACTGTCTGCAGCCTAGTGTTTGGGCTTTCCTGTGTCTTCTCCAGTTTTCCAATGATATGGGGCGCCTAGGCCAGTCCTTTCTAATGACCCGTTCAGACCGCTCTGACAGCTGGGGGATCACACACACACACATCTGTGTCTCTAGGCTGCCCTGAGGGCAAAGTTAATCCTCCCCTGCCTCCCACTGGGCAGCAGTGCAAAGTATTGGGGAAGCTGAGGCACACAGCAGCTCCGTCAAAGTGTTACAAAAATCTCTCACTTTGTCAAAAGGAAATTACCTGAGGGCTGCAAACCCCTGTTCTGGGAGGGGTGTCATCTCCTCACAAGGTTCCTTCCACACTTGCCCCAGGGGACTGCCCTGCTGCATTCTCCAAGCACACCTCTTCCCCCCCCCTCTTCCAACACCCCACCCCACCCACTCTGCACATCGCTCTGCCATGCTCAGGCTTCGGAGAAACAAGAGGGAGGAAGGTGGCCAAGTGTGGTGTCAGCATCTTTCCAGCCAATACTGAGAACACTGTGCTGTTTCCTGGGATTGCTGGACTCATCTGCTGGCTGATCTATAGCAGGGCTTGGCTGCAGGACTGCACGGTCCGTCCCCCCGCCCCTGAGTGGGGGATGCCTCGTGGTGGATGCCTTGGCAGTGACCGCAGAGGCAGATACTGGGGAGGCATCACGGGGTGCTTACTTGGAGGACAGTGCAGGGGGGCAGAGAGGAGGCTGGTGAAGCACACTGCAGGAATGTGACAACCAGCCAGTTTATTGGTTGGGAACTCTGTCTACAGATGAGCCAGGAGCCGAAGCACAAAGATGGGAGAGCTGGTGGTGAGGAAACTTTCACCCCCCCATGCCCTTCACTCTTGGGAGTGTGAAGCTGCTGTCCCTTTGCATGGGAGTGGGACCTCACAGCATGAGCAAAGGCCAAGCATGTGGGGCAGGAGGCAGCTACAGACAGGGGACAAGTGTGCCATGGTGCCCAGCCCTTACTAGTAGAGCCCTGTGCAGATACATTTGTATCCATAACCACATCCGTATCCTCAAAAATGAGCCAGGGGTACCCTTATCTGCAGATGCAGATGCCTGCGGCTATAAGGTGGATATCTGTGGATTTGCAGGGCTCTACTTACTGGCAAACCTCCTCATCCCTCCCCCTCCCCCACACTAGCCGCCAGATCTGACCCAGGAGAACCCTTGCACGGGAAGGGCTACTCTGCACAAGTTACCTTGGCCAAGCGGGGCCTAGCTCTGCAAGAGGAACGTTGGGGCCTGTCCTCGGTGTTGCCTGCCCACAGCTGTGCAGGTGCCACCCTGCACCAGTGCTCGGGTGGCTGTGCCCCCGGGGATTGGCCCAACCATGGCTCTAGCGTGGGAGCTTGCGGCAGCTCCTGCTTCGCGGTCAGTTCTAGCAAACATAATGACATGGGCCAAAGCCAGTAGCAGCGCGCCAGGGCCAGAGCCTGGGCACTGCGCTCCTGGGGAAGAGGGCTGGGAGTTGCATGGAGGACAACTAGCCAAGGGGAGGTTGCCAAGCCAAACAGTAGCGGACGCGTAGGAACTTGTGTGTGTGTGTGAGAGAGAGAAACCCGGTGCAGGTTCTTCTGCGCCCACTTGAGGGTGTGTTAGGAGTATTGCTCTGCTCCTGGGCTCTCTCTGGAAACACTATATAGGCTGCGTCTAGACTGGCATGATTTTGCGCAAATACTTTAAAGGAAAAGTTTTTGCGTTAAAAGTATTTGCGCAAGAGAGCGTCTACACTGGCATGTGCCTTTGCGCAAAAGATTTGCTTTTGCGCAAAAGCATCAGTGCCGGTGTAGATGCTCTCTTGTGCAAGAAAGCTCTGATGGCCATTTTAGACATCGGGCTTTCTTGCGCAAGAAATTAACGTGGCTGTCTACACTGGCCCTCCTGGGCAAGAATACTTCCGCAAGAAGGCTTATCCCTGAGCGGGAGCGTTGGAATATTTGCGCAAGAACCACTGATTTTATACATTACAAAGTCAGTATTCTTGTGCTAATACTCGCGGCCAGTGTAGACTGGCAGCAGGATTTTGTGCAAAAGCGCATTCTTGTGCAAATACTGGCGGCCAGTGTAGACTGGCAGCAGGATTTTGTGCAAAAGCGCCTGCTTTTGTGCAAAATCTTGCCATTCTAGACGCAGCCTATGTCTGTCTCTCTGTTTATCCCATTCCCTTGTGTTCATGGAACTGGCTGGCACAAGCAAGCAGGGAACCCACAGCCATGCTAAGGGCAGGGGGTGGCCAGTAAAAACAGTGTAGGGGTGTGAGACAGCAAGAGCAACTCAGGCAGGCCTAGGTCGGGAGACACCCTGCAAAAGGGTGAGAGAAAAGCCAGCGTTAGTGGAGAGCGCTAAGGAGCAGCAGGAGCGAGTCAGCAGTGACATGGCTGGGGCCAGCAGAGCCTCCTTCCCACAACCCACAGGAGGATGCCAAGTCAGGGTATTATTTAGCGTGGCATTACACTGTCAAGAGAGGAAAAGCCAGCCCTTGGAAACCAGCACCTCCTGCTTCAGCATTGGCCCAGGCCAGAACAAACCTGCGCTGCAGCCAGGGGCCATAGCAGGATGGTCACAGGTAGAACAAGCATGGAGGCCTCATTCAATCAGTGATGGGGAAGGGATCCTTTCCTCCATCTTGTCCATTGGATTCAGCACTACCTCTGCCCTTCCTCTGCGCCTTCCTCCCTCCCCGTTGGCTTTCCTTGCTGGGTTATTGAATATGCAAGTGTCTCTCTCTGACACCATCTCTGATCCCTTAATCCAGCTGCCCTGGTAATTCCGCAGCCCCAAATCAGCTCAGATCTCTCTGCAGACGTCAGCCTCCTGCCACAAGAGTTGGTTTTTCTTCCCTGCCTCCCCCTGCCCCGCCCCTGCCTCCCGCTGTTTCTGCCCTGTGGGTCTCTGCATTGGAAAAGGGCTGGGCTTTAGCAGCAAAGGTTTTTAGCAATATCCTTAGTGAGCATCCCTAGAAAAAAAAGAGGAGTGAAGACAGGATTCTGAATCTTAAGTAGCTATGATGCATTTTTCTCTTGTTTCTGGCAGCTCCCTCTATCTGTGCCCCCTCTGGAGAATGGGAATGTCTCCTTAGTCGCAGCAGAGGGCACTCCTCCAAGGCTGGGGCTAAGAGACATTAGTGACAGCAGAGGGTGAGGGGGCAGTGTCAGTGGGGATGTCAGCAGAGGGAGCTCCTGCCTGGAGAGTAGGAGATGGGTATGCAGGGCCAGAGAAAGGGGACTGAAAATGACTCCCTGGCAGCAGCAGGGATTATCTCCCAAGAGTGGGGTGTGCTGGCAGCCCCTGAGCAGAGGGGATGCCAGGCTGGAGAAAGGAGGACGTTGCCTTGAGGTCAGTCGGGGGCCCAATTCTCTGGCTCAGGATGAGTCTCAGGGCTTGATGTTGGGGGAGGAAAGGGGGACAGAAATGTTTCCCTGCTACCAGCAGGGGGTGCTCTCCCCACAGTGGGGTAAGGCAACTATTGAGTGTTTCTCCTCACCCTCGGGCAAGTGGCTAGATTCTTTAACCAGCCTGGGCAGGAATTAGTTTGCTCTCCTTCTCTGACAATAGCGCCACAATAGCAGAAATGAAAAAATAATAATAATACAGCACCATGCTGTCCCCTCCACACTGGGGTGCAGCTCTGTGCACCTGTCCCATGCCACGTGCAGGAGCCACCCTCTGCCAGAGGGCTCTTGACAGCCCTCTCCCGCTCTGGGCCAACACGCCCCTCTGCTCTTGCATGGGCATCCGGCACTCACAATTCCCGCTTCTAAACGTCCCTCTCTGAGCCCTGCTTGCGAAGGCCACATTGTCCCCAACCCTCGCCTGCGTTGAGACGAGGGAATTATTTTCGGAACGAGAGCAGTTATACAACCCATGAATTATTTATTGTTTTGCATCAAGGAAAAAACCCCATTTAGATGGGATTCTTATTTATTTATCATCAGCGGGTGCGCGCCCCCGCGCGTGTGTATTGTGCGATTTCCGTTCTCTGCGCTGGCAGCCGAAGTTTCTTGGGGTTGGGTTGACTTGGGTTGTGTTTTCTTTATGCTTTGGAGTTTTAAGCCGATCATAATAAAGCTACGTCCCTCCCGCTGTTCCCCCCCCCCCCACACACACACACCAGACTGTGATTCTATTACATAACGAAACCCAAGTACCCTTCTGGCTATCACTGATACAAGATTATGTTGCAAGGGTTCCCTTTGCCAAGGCTTATCAGCGTAGCAGGCAATACCGCCTCCCCCCGTCCACCTGCAACGCTCCCTGTTCTGCTTTTCCCTGTCCCCCAGAAACCAACAAACCTAGCCGTCATCTTCCGTATTTCAAAGACCCCCCCGACTGATGTCTCCTCTTGTCTCTTGTGTGTTTCCTTTCCAGATTCCAGCGACAGATGGATCTCTCGCTCGCACGCTCGCTATCTATGTTTTTGTTTTCAAGATGTTTGATCTGAAGTTCTGAAGTGTCTCAGAGGGGACCCAAGAAAGGGGGAGGAGGAGCAATCCAGGGAGCCCAGCGACAGAAGAGGAGTCACCTCATGGTGGTCACGGGGGAAGGTGGGGAGGGTGTGTGGGGGTGTTGTTCCTGAGTCTTGAAGTTTTGTTGGTTAATTTTTGTTTTGCTTTAAAGAGAAGCACAGATTTCTGTCCCTGCCCTTCTGGTCCGGGATTGGGAGCTGCAAGCAGGAGTGGATTTTGCTCTTTGTTGCTCTGCAAAGGGAGGGACAAGAAAAATGTTGGTGAGGGCACCGGATAGAACTGAGGCGCCTGTGCCCTCCTATCACTAAGCACCCAAGGAGTGTTGCCTCTTATCTTCTCCCTTTGCTCCTCTCCCTTTGCTCTCCAGAGGCTTGTTTCCTGTTCTTGCCCGTGGGGGGGAGGTGGGGTGCCGCACCCGAACATGCTGCGCCTGGGTTTGTGGGCGGCCGCCCTGATCTGCGTGTTCTCCCCCGGCACGGTGCATGGCGACTGCTGGCTGATCGAGGGGGACAAGGGTTACGTGTGGCTGGCCATCTGCAGCCAGAACCAGCCGCCCTACGAGACCATCCCCCAGCACATCAACAGCACGGTGCACGACCTGCGCCTGAATGAGAACAAGCTCAAGGTGGTGCTGTACTCCTCCCTCAACCGCTTCAGCAACCTCACCGACCTGAACCTGACCAAGAACGAGATCTCCTACATTGAGGACGGGGCCTTCCTGGGGCAGGCCAACCTGCAGGTCCTGCAGTTGGGTTACAACAAGCTCACCAACCTGACGGAGGGCATGCTGAGGGGCATGGCCAGGCTGCAGTTCCTCTTCGTGCAGCACAACCTGATTGAGGTGGTCACACCCACTGCCTTCTCCGAGTGCCCCAGCCTGATCAGCATCGACCTGTCCTCCAACCGGCTCAGCAGGCTGGAGGGGAACACCTTCACCAGCCTGAGCAACCTGATGGTGTGTGAGCTAGCTGGCAACCCCTTCAACTGCGACTGCAGCCTCTACAGTTTCCTCACCTGGCTGGTGGTCTTCAACAATGTCACCAAGAACTACGACCGGCTGCAGTGTGAGACGCCCCGGGAATTTGCTGGCTACCCGCTTCTGATGCCTCGACCGCACCATAACCGCAACGCCATCACCATCTTCCAGTCCATGTGCCGGGGCGGCACCATCCCGTCCCTCTCAAGGATCAATCCCACCCCCTACACACCCGACTCCCAGAGAGACCTGGATGAGAACTCAGGATTCAACCCTGGGGACTTCCTCTCCGTCGAACCTCCGGCTTCTTCCACCACCGACTCCTCATTCAACCCCAGCATCAAGCTGCACCATGTGACCATCAATTCAGCCACCCTTGTGGTGACGATCCCCTCGCCCTTTAGCAAGATGTACGTGCTGGTCCAGTACAACAACAGCTACGTCTCCGATGTTACGACCCTGAAGAATAAGAAGGAATATGTCACCCTGAACAAGCTGAAGGCCCACACGGACTACACCTTCTGTGTGGCCTCCATCCGCAACTCCAAGCGCTACAACCACACCTGCCTGTCTTTCGCCACCAGGAGCAAGGGGAGGGAGGACCCAGTGCCCAATACCTCCACCACCACTCACTACATCATGACCATCTTGGGCTGTCTCTTTGGGATGGTCATCGTCCTGGGAGTGGTGTACTACTGCCTGCGGAAGCGAAGGATGCAGGAAGAGAAGCAGAAGTCCCTCAATGTTAAGAAGACCATCCTAGAGATGCGCTATGGCTCGGATATCGACACCAGCTCCATTGTCCATTCTTCGCAGAAGCTGGGCGAGCCACCCGTCATCCCCGTCTCGCGGATGTCCTCCATCCCTTCCATGATTGGGGAGAAGCTGCCCTCTTCCAAGTCAATTGAGGCTGGGATGGAGACTCCCAAAGTTACCACCAAGGGCAACTACATTGAGGTGAGGACGGGCGGTGGGGATGGACTGGAGCGATCCCAGCGGGATGACGATCTGCGTGAGCTTGACAATGGTCAAGGCTCGGCAGCTGAGATCTCCACCATCGCCAAGGAAGTGGACAAGGTCAACCAGATCATCAACAACTGCATTGACGCCCTCAAGCTGGACACAGCCTCCTTCCTAGGAGGAGGGAGCGGCGTGGATTCAGACATGGGCTACGAGTGCCAGTCCATCCCCGCCGGCTCCTCAGGAGGGCTGGAGCGGCCCGGCTTCCTGTCGCCGTCCTACAAGGAGAGCTCCCACCACCCCTTACAGCGCCAGCTGAGTGCAGATGCGGCTGTGACCAGGAAGACCTGCAGCGTCTCATCCAGTGGCTCCATCAAGAGTGCCAAGGTCTTCAGCCTGGATGTGCCCGACCACCCGCCAATGAGCAAGTCGGATTCCAAGTACATCGAAAAAGGCAGCCCACTCAACAGCCCCCTGGATCGTCTTCCCTTGGTGTCCCCGGGCGCCATCCACCACCTGGAGGTAAAACCTTCCTATCATTGCAGCGAGCACCGACATTCTTTCCCGGCCCTGTACTATGAGGAGAGCGCTGACACCCTGAGCCAGCGGGTGTCATTCCTTAAGCCGCTCTCCCGCTCCAAGCGGGACTCCACGTACTCCCAGCTCTCCCCCAGACACTACTTCTCGGGCTACTCCTCCAGCCCCGAGTACTCCTCTGAGAGCACTCACAAGATCTGGGAGCGCTTCCGGCCTTACAAGAAGCACCACCGGGAGGAGGTTTACATGGCGGCTGGCCATGCCCTGCGGAAGAAAGTCCAGTTTGCCAAGGACGAGGATCTGCACGACATCCTGGATTACTGGAAAGGAGTCTCTGCTCAGCAGAAATTGTGACTCTCTTTAAAAGGAAAGAAAAAAATCCAACAACCACCAACAAAAGAACCACTTGACTGTGATCAAAAACCGAACAGCCCCCTCTTCCCTCAACAAAAACGAACTGAGAACCGTTTCTTAAAAAGTTTACAAAAAAAAAAAAAGAAAGAAAGCAAACAAAAAACAAACTCCTGCAATGAATTGTCTTTCCTGTGTTACGGGGACCACTCTTCCTCCTGCAGCTGATTGGGAGGAGCTACCTGCTTTGACACTGTGGTAATGACGCTGGGGGCTAGCGGGAGGGAAGGATGAAGAAGGGGGATAGGCATGCGAGGGGGGCAGAGAAGGATGCTAACCAGGCCTAGACTAAACCACTAACCATTGCTTTTATGTTCCTGTTGTTATTTTGTTCCAGATTGGGGGGAGGGGAAGTTAAGGTTGGGGGTGGGGCTTCTGTTTGTTCCCTTGAGGGGGCAGCCCCAACCATGCATTCTCATCAAGAGAAAATGGGGGATGTCACGAAGCAGAGAGCCCCTCCTTGGCATTTTGTGGGATCGGGGGTCTTCAAGGCTTCCTCCCACCTCCCCAAGACATGTGGGGCTTGTATAGACTCTAGCATGTAACTGGAGGCTTTCTCTCCTTTTCCTCCCCCATGGACTCCAGTGGGGTTTCCTGAACCTGGGGGTGTGTTTCCTGGCTCATGACCACATCCGCCTCCCTCGTTCACTGAGGAAAGGGGGGTAGGGCGCACAGCACGGGGCTCTTCCCAACCGTGTATTTTGGAAGAGGGGTCACCCGCTTTCTCAGGCCCTGGGAATCTCCCACCCCCACCTTCAGCCAAACAGTCCAGTTGTCTTCCAGGAAATGCTGGGGAGCATGTTCTCTGGCATGGCAGAGTGGGGCTTGCTAATGGCAGGGTGAGGCGGGGGTGAGGAAGAAGGTGGGAGTTCCCGACTGCGCTGAGATCTGAAGGGTTCCCCTCTCCCCCCTTCTTTCCCGCCCTGTCCCCGAGCCGGGCAGGGGCATGCATCTCCCACTTCTTTCAGTTGTGCTGCAGATTCTGCACCCCCCTCTCCCTTGCATTTTGGGGGGGGGGGCAGGAGGGAGATCAGACTCTTGAGGAAGGCCTAGGGGAGGAATAACAATCACAGGGTGCTCCTATGCCTCCTCCCACCCAGCTAGACCAGAGCAGGGACCCCTCTCCTGGGGGGGAGGGGCATTTGTAGAACAGGTGGATGTGACCATTTTCTATTACACTGCAAGTATGAAAGGGCTGGGTCTGGATAGGACCGTGGGTGGGGCCTGTGTTTCCCATGAATGGGGCACATGTGCCTCCCATGGAGAGGAGAGAGCTCCGGGCTTGGAGGAGAGGGGGTAAAATATGGGAGGGAGGTAGAGAGTGGGGAATGGCCAGGGGAAATAGGGCACAGCCCAGGAGATTGGTTCTGATTCTAGGAGGGGGTGATTTCCTGGGCTCTCCCTTTGTGGGCCCTGCCATGGTCGTGGCGTTAGAGTGGGAGGGTTGTTAGCTCCTGGACTGAGCTCTCTCACTGTCCTCTGCAAAGCTCCAACTGGCCTTCTCCTCCCCTATTCAGCTGATCCTCTGGGTGCCACTCACCACGGTGCCCACCCATCTGAGGGAATCCTCAATGGGCCTGCAAACCCCGTGTGCCCAGCCCACTCCCCTCCCAGCATTGCTCCCCTGGACTTGGGCCCTAGCTCCCCACCAACTTGGGCCCTTGCTTCCCCACCCCTGTCTTGGAACACACCAACAAAGCACAATGTTTGGCACCCACCAGATCTGTGGCTCTTTCCTCTGGCCTGCGGGGACGCTGCTTCCTGTGCGACTGGCCACCCCCCTCCCTGATCTTTGACAATCTTTCCCTTTTCTCAGATGGGAGGAGGGCTGAGGCCTCCCCTCCCTTTCCTCTAATGCTGTCTGAACCTGTCATTGCTGGGGGGGGGGGGGTGGGCCAAGCCTGGGAGGGGCCATTTCCCTCTGAGGAGCTTCTCGGAGCCCAGGAGGATGGTCAGTGGCACTGACAGGGATGCAGGGAGAGGGGCGGTGGAGACAAGAGTTCAGCACATGGGTGTCTCTCCACAGCAGCCATTGGGCACAAGTACCCAGCGTGGATCCTCTTAGAAGGGGCTGGTTAGCATGAACAGATTCTTGTAGGCAGTGTTGTTATAGCTGTGTGGGTCCCGGGCTCTGAGAGAGACAAAGTGGGTGAGGTAATAGCTTTTATTTAGCACTTCTCTCTCACCAAGAGAAGCTGGTCCTGTACAACTATTACCTCACCCACCTTGTCTGTCAAACAGATTCTCCGCTATCTGTGGGCAACAGCACCATCCGGTGGCTGGTGGGTAAATCCCAGGGGTGTATTCCCTACCGAGATCCTAGGGAAGGGGGTGCAGTGGCAATGGAATGTCCTAAGGAAGGGATCTTGGGGCACGTTCCCTAGGACGGTTTTAAATACCCTAGTGCAACCCAAGTCTCCTGTTGCCTCAGACCCCCCTGCTTGTCAGTGTGCTTCCTGCATCACGGGCTGCTTTGCCATATGTTGATCCCAGCTGTAGCGCAGCCCCTCCCTCTCTCCCCAAGATGGAGCAGTGAGGAGAAGGGTGCATGGGGATCGAGGCTTCAGATTGACTCCAGGGGCTCATAAAACAAGGGAGCCAGCAGATGACAAGAAGGAGTTAGATCACGCCGAGTCCCCTCATGGCAGGAAAGGGTGAGAGCCTGCTGGAGAGTGAAGGGGGACCGCGTCCTCTGTATGCCCCATCATCTTTTCCTCTCCTCCCCTCTCAATGGTACTGCCCAGGGCCCAGTAAATCCCATAAGCTGTTCCACATTTGGGGAGTAAGGGGTGGATTGAGGGGTTATACTCTACCAGGATCTCAGCTCCCGTTCTACCCCTAAGGGGAAGAAAGGAGGCAGAGGACTAGGGAGAAGGGGTGGGGGCCTGCCGGTGGTCTCGTGGAAGGAGAAACTCCTGTTGCCTGAGCTGGGGGTGTAGGGAGGTTAGAAGGGGTGAGCAACCCAAGCGCCTTCCTCCATGCAGTGACCCCCAGCCTGGGGCCGGGGGGTGGAAGTTTGCACAAGAGGACTGTTCTGAGGGGATGGGAGGGGGAGCAGCCCTTCCTGCCGCTGGCTGGCGAATGGGAACGACAGCCAGTGAAGTACACACGCGCCGTGGCTGAAACGAGCAGATCTAACCTTATCTTTGCATGATGATTTGACTGTATTTTTCTGAGCAAACACCTGTTGTGTATGTGCCAGTTTGTCGAGATTTAACCCTCTCCCTGGTCTCTCCCTCCCCACTCTCACCCTGTTGTGATTTGATCTGAGACATACAATTTCTGGAGGGAGCAGATGCCAAAGAGAACCCAAGCCCGGTGCCCCAGCTGAATAATGCCCTTCAGACTGCTCCTCTCCAGTCCGCGCCTCCTCTCCCCCCCGCAAATTTCCTAGCTACTGGTTAGGGCACTGGCTACGTCCCAGTGGGTGTGATGGGCCTGGTCCTGCAGCCCTTGCTCACTCTTGTGGCCAGTTTAACCCTTCTCCCTCCAGCCCCCACTGTTGTCAGTAGAGCCACTTGCATGTGCAAGGCCTTCTGGGAAGACCCCTGCCATCTGCTCCAGCCTGAACCCACGAGTGAGGCCTGTCTGTGGAGACCTAGAGCCTTGATGTGTGGTGACGGGGTGCCCCAGCTTCGAGGACACCTCTGATGTCTTTGGGCCTGCTCTCTGAAGTCAATGGAGAGACTCCTGCTGACTTGAGTGGGCTTTGGAGAGGAATTTGTCCATTTCCATTCCCCTCAGATAGTTGGCAGGGAGTGTGGTGAGAGGGCTGCTCAGAGACTCCTGCCCTGTCTCCTGGACTTCTGGAGTCCATGAAGCCATGCAGAAGAAAGGGTTTCCTGGGGGTGATTCAGAACCTGAAGCTTATGGCTAGTTTCTGGCTTTGTTTCTGTGCTGGAGCAAACCCAGGATTCATTGCAGGGAGGACAAGAATCACCGTCATTCAACTGGAAGGAGCAGAGCTGGATTCCTGTGCCCCTGGAATGGACTCTGACCCCTAGGTGATTGCTGTTCCCCTTGCAATAGGTGCTAGCTTCCACCCCCACGTGTGCTAGAGTGCTCATTTCTCGCTGCCCCGCACCCTGTGTCGTACAATTTCTCCTGAGGCAGGTGTGAAATATTCATGAACAACAAATGAAAATTAACGTCAAGAAATCCTGGCTGAGGCGGTGGCCGTGTGTTTGCAATGCTAATCAGTGCCCATGCCCGCCAGAGCCTCTCTGAGGCAGCTCGCAAGGAGAAGGGGCAGCGGGGAGTGGGGGTGGACAGCAGAGAGCATTAGGAGGGAAGAGGTCAGAGAGGAGCGAGGGATGGGATGAGACAGAGAAGAGAGGGGATGGCAGGGGAGGGTGGCAGAGCAGGAGGTGGGGGAGTCAGAGAAATGGAGAGGAGGTGGCAGAGAGAGAAAAGAGCAGGGTTGCTGGAGAGGAGGAAGCTGGTGGGGGCAGCCGAGAAGAGCAGGGAAGAAGCATGCAGTTGCCAGAGCGGGGAGAAGTGGCGTGATGGAGGGGAAGGGGGTGACAGTATAAGGAGGGAGAGCAGAGAAGGCAGGGCAATGATTTTGGGAAGAGGTGCCAGCTGGTGAGAGGACGCAGCAGGACTGATGGAGATGAGAGAACAAAGCAGGAAGAAGGGTTGGAGGAACAGCTGGGGGGTCTGAGAGGTGGCAGGGGAGGATGGGAGGATAGCGGAGCAGGACCAATAAGGCTGGCTCTGTCCCCTCTCTGTGGGTACCAAGCCACTTCCTAGTAGTGCTGGGCACAGGCAGCAGCATGACAGAGAGCTGGCACGCAGAGGGGCAAATTCTAAGCGCTTGCCACTGGAAGGCCAGCCCAGTCGAACCATGACTAGGAACATAGGCAGTAGGGACCGAGTGCTAGCACGCGCCTGCTCCGTGGACTCCTTTGTTGACGGAGATCCTCCCGGAGTGACCCCCATCTGGAATCTGCCCAGTGCAGCCCCCACAGCCTCAGCTTGGGATGCAGGGCTGCATAGCTCAGCATGGGGAATGCACAGCAAGTCCTGCTATCCAACATGAGGCTCCTTAGGGTGGCCAACTCGCGCGTGCACAGGAAGCTGCCCATATTTGTAGGACATCCCGCCCTGGCCCGTGGCATCCCACGTATCTGGTAACAGGCTTCTCGCTCTAGCTGAGGAAGGTTTAACATGATCCAATGGCTGGAAGTGGACACTAGACCAGTATTTCTCAACCAGTGGTACGAGTGCCCTTAGGGGTCCTCGAGAGAAGTCTGGGAGGGGATGTCATCACCACTGAAATTTGGAGAAAACTGAATTTTGTTTTAAGTTTCACAGCGCTTTATTCTTTTTGTACTTTTTACACCCAGAAATTCCATCACCCGCGTAGCTACTATTAAATTGTTTAAACAAAACTGTTGCAATGGTAGAAAATATATTTTTTGGTGTCTGAAAACTGTAAGTACTGGGGGTACTTCTAATTTATTTATTTTTTGGAAAAAGGGGTACTTCATCAAAAAAGGTTGAGAAACACTGCACTAGACCAGTTGGGACTGGAAAGAAGCTGTACATTTTTGAGGGGCAATTAACCATTAAGCCAACTTAGCAAGGGCCTTGCTGGGGGAAGTTCTGTGGCCTGTGGGAGAAGGAGAGCAGGCTAGGTGATCAGAGGGGGCCCTTCTGGCTTGGGACTCTGCTTCTGTTAGGCATTGGGCTTTGCGGGGTTGGACTGGAGAATGCTGCCCTCTTCCCTTCTCCTCCCAGCAGGTTTCTGGCATTTTATCCTGGGAGGGAAGAGTAGAGGCTTGACACACTGAAGTGGCCTTGTGGCACTGGCCTGTCCCTTGCCCCCACCAGATCACCTGCCTTCACATAGCCAGAGGCTGTCTCTCTACTGCTCCCCTCTGCCCCACAGGGGGGAAAGAGGAAGCTCTGTGCTGCTACTCCTGACCCTCTCCGGGTGGGATGCCTCCCTCTCCTTTCTCTGGAAGGGATGAATTTCCCCTTGTCCTCTGCTCCCTCCTTCCTCCCATCAGGCCACACCATGGTAGGGACGCCTGGCCTTTGCCACCATGCCCCCACCCCACATGAGGCCTTGCTCTCAGTGAGCCCTATTCTGGAGATCCCAGGTTGTGAGAGGTGGGGGTCAATCCAGCCCTCTCCCTCCCCAATGGCTCCACATTCAGAGCACTAGAGGGGCAGAGAGCCAGTAGTTCCCTCTCCAGTGCCCGTCCCATGCACTCCTTGAATGTAATGCAGATCCGGAGGCAGCTGCCCGGATTGGTTCCTCGCCAGCCACTCCTGTCCCTTCTCCTGTAACGACCCCGTGACCTTGGTTCTGTATGGACACATTGGTTTTTATTTTTATCCCCTTCCCTCCTTGTTTTAAACTGAATGGCACGAAATCGTTTTTCCTCAACTCGGAGATTCCTGTATGGAGAAAATCAATTTCTATATTTGCAATAAATTTCTTATTAAAAAAAAAAGCAAACAAAAAACAAACAAAACAAAACGAGAAAGGCTGCGTCTGAGTCTGTTTGTCTCTTGCCTCTCTTGGCCTCCCCCCGCAGCCCACCAGGGAGGGCTCCCTGGGGCAGGATGGAGTTGGGAAGGGGTACGTCCTGGGGTGGGGATGTGAGCAGAGGACACTGCTGAGAAAGTTGAGATGGGGGTAAGGGGAGCAGAGCAAGATGAATGGCTGAATTCTCAGCCGTGCTCAGCACCAGCAGATTCCATGGAGAACAAAGGGCTGCATCTCTGCTGTTGCCCCTACCTGCCCCGTGCAGTCACTGCCTCGTTCTCCAAGTCAACCCCATTTCCCTCCCTATGTCTTGTTGGCACCATCCTATCTCCCAGAAGCTTGGTACTTTCTAGTTCACTCCCCACTTATTTGCCCCACCCCCTGCAACTTTG